ACTTTAGGGCACTGGGACAAGTGGGTGATGGGACAGGGGCACAGGTACTCTTTTCCTCAGTCCCTCTGGTGGCTGAGAAAAATGGTGAAAGGAATAGGAGAGCTCACATGATCAACAAGTGGCTCAAGGGTTGGTGTCATCAACAGAATTTTGGATTCTTTGATCATGGGGCAACTTCTACAGTACCTGGCCTGCTGGAACCAGATGGGCTCCATCTCTCTGTTAAGGGCAGAAGAATTTTAGCTTGTGAACTGGCAGAACTTGTTGAGAGGGCTTTAAACTAGGTCTGAAAGGGGAAGGGGATGCAGTTGGGCTGTCTGGAAGCAGGCCTGAGGGTGGTAAGCCTGAGTTAGGGGTGAGGTAACAAACAGGAAGAGCTGGAGGCCATGGTCCAACAGCAGAGCTGTGGTGTAATTGCCATCAGGGAAATGTGGTGGGATGTCTCACATGGCTGGAGCACTGCATGAGATAGCCAGAAACTCTTCAGAAGAGACAGGAAAGGGAGCAGAGGTGAAGGGGTGGCCCTTTATATTAGGGAGGGCTTTGATGCTATGGATGTTGAAAGTAATGATGAAGTTGAATACCTCTGGGTGAGAATTAGGGGGAAGGCCAACAAGGCTGACATCCTACTGGGAATCTGTTATCGTCCACCCAGCCAGGAAGAAGTCATGGACAACTCATTCTATAAGCTACTAGATACTATTTCAGGCTCATCGGCCCTTGTTCTTGTAGGTGACTTCAACCTCCCAGACATCTGCTGGGAACTCAATACAGCTGAAAAGAGACTGTCCAGGAAATTTTTAGAATGTGTGGAGGACAACTTTTTGTTTCAGCTGGTGGGTAAATCCACCAGGGAATGGACTATGTTAGATCAGTTGTTTGCAAATTTCTGGGATTGGGTTTTGTTTTTTTTTAAAGCCACCAGGAGCGCAACCCCTCACTGACACAGTCTGTGCCCACTGGGAATGTAGAGAGAAACTAAATTTATTATGGCATAAGGAATGATGATCCTTTGGGCAATATATTATAAAAGTAAAACACAGAAAAAGTACCTCTAAAATGAAACTAACAAGAAGTATCAAAAATGTGTTTTATTAAAGGGATTTGTAGAAGTTGGCTAGCAGTTTAATGTTCCTGAAAGCATCGTGTCATCAGTCTCCTCACTGCAGCCTTCAGCTCCTGGTTCCTCAGGCTGTAGATGAGGGGGTTCAGGGCTGGAGGCACCACTGAGTACAGAACTGACAGGGCCAGATCCAGGGATGGGGAGGACATGGAGGGGGGCTTCAGGTAGGCAAATGCTACAGTGCTGACAAACATGGAAATAACAGCCAGGTGAGGGAGGCAGGTGGAAAAGGCTTTGTGCCGTCCCTGCTCAGAGGGGATCCTCAGCACAGCCCTGAAGATCTGCACATAGGAGAAAACAATGAACACAAAACAGCCAAATACCAAACAGCCACTAACAGCAAGAAGCCCCATTTCCCTGAGGTAGGATTTGGAGCAGGAGAGCTTGAGGATGTGTGGGATTTCACAGAAGAACTGACCCAGGGCATTGCCATGGCACAGGGGCAGGGAAAATGTGTTGGCCGTATTCATGAGAGCATTGAGAAAGGCACTGGCCCAGGCAGCTGCTGCCATGTGGGCAAAAGTTCTGCTGCCCAGGAGGGTCCCGTAGTGCAGGGGTTTGCAGATGGACACGTAGCGGTCATAGCACATGATGGTCAGGAGATAAAATTCTG